TCAGCACCACATAAAAATAAATAAATAAAATAAAGATATTCTTTCCAACTACAACTAAAAAATAAATATTAAAAAAAAAAGGTGGGGGCTGGGGTTATGGCTCAGTGGCAGAGTGCTTGCCTAGCACGTGTGGGGCACTGGGTTCGATCCTCACACCACATAAAAATAAACAAATAAAATAAAATAAAGGTATTGTATTCCATCTACAACTAAAAAAAATTAAAAAAAAAAAAAAGAAAGAAAGAAAGATGGGGACTTGGGTTGTGGCTCAATGGTAGAGCGCTTGCCTGGCATGTGTGAAGCACTGGGTTCAATTATTACCACCATAAATAAATAAATGAACGTTAATTGACAAATATATATACATACATACAAATATATATAATATATATGTAAAAGAAAGAAAAAAGAAGGTAATGAATCATGCTATTTTAAGCTACTAAGTTTATGACCATTTGTTATAGCAGCAAGAGGAAACTAAACATAGCTACTGTGTGTGGACAGACTGCACAGAGGGATTCTCAACCTGGATAGCTGTACCTCTAGGGGACAGTTGTTAATGTCAGGAAACATTTTAGCTTGTCACAACTAGGGGAGATCTATACGCATCTATTCAGAGGAGTCTAGGGCTGCTGCAAACAGCCCACAATGCTCAGGACAGGCCCCAACACACAGCTATAGGTGGTGGAGGGCAGAAGCAGAGATCCCCGTGAAAGAGCTTCTATGACTTGAGAAGGACGGGGGAGAGACAGTGGGACTAGAGAGAAGTGGACAGTTTCTGGAATGTTTCAGAAATAAGTGGAAAGAAAATTTTCAGGCAATTTGGGGGAGTAACTCAGTGGCACAGCATTTGCCTACTGTGTAAAGTCCTGAGTCTGAACCCAGCGCTGCAAAAAACACAACCCATGGATCAGTGAAATGTCTATTAATTATCCTTATGACCACTAGGTGGAGCACAAGAGGAGCCAGAAAAGCGGGCCTGAGCCTGGCAGGTCCAGACAGAGGAGCAGGATCTCCCCTGGGAGAAGGTCCACGAGAGGGGAGCGGCCAGGGCGGGCCTGGCAGCCTCTTCCACTCCCAAGCCTCTCCTTGGCCTTCCCCATAAGATAGGACTGTGGACCTCACTTTTTAGGTGCAGACTCTTGGTTCCTATGGCCCTTACCCCAAACCACACAGGGCACTGCTGCTTTTATTTGGTACTGGGCCTGGAACCCAGGGGCACTCTACCACTGAGCTACATGCCCAGCCCTTTTGATTTCTTGCCAAGTTGCCCAGACTAGCCTCAACCTTGCAATCCTCCTGCCTATGCCACCAGAGTCGCTGGGATTACATGAGAGTGAGCGCCACCAGGAATTGCCACAACTTAATGACTTAAAGTGATACAAACTGATCACTTTACCCTGGAGGCCAGGTGTGAAATTAGTTTCACTAGGTGGAAATGAAGGTGTTGGTGGGACAGGTTCCCTCTACAGTTCCTGAGGGAGAATCCTCTTCACTTCTCCGGCTTCTAGAGCTGGTTCTGTGGCCTGTGGACCCTTCCCCATCGCAAAGCCAGTGCTGTGGCATCTGGCCCAGGTGTCCCTCTGCCTTCTGTTTCTATTTTTTCTTTTTGTGGCGCAAGGGATGGAACCCAGGGCCTCATGTGTGCCAGGCAAACTCTCTACCACTGAGCCACGCGGTGCCCAGCCCGGCCTTCGGTTTCTGTGATCGGATCTGCCTCTGCTTCCCGAGGCCCACCTGGGTGATGCAGGATCACGGCCTCATCTCAAGGTCCTTCATTAATCACACCTTCCAAAGTCCCTTTGGCCATGTCAGGTAAAAGTCACGGGTTCTGGGCTTAGGACATGGACATCTTGGGAGGGCACCGTTGGGCCTGCCACGAGGTCACAGAGAGGACAGCCCCTACCCCAAACCACACAGGAAGGACAAGGCCAGGGGGCAGTAGAGCGAGGCCTGAGGGAGGCGAAGCCCACCCCCCTGCCAGCTTCCCACGTGCCCTTCAGCTCGGCCCCTCCGTACCGTCTGGATCAGCAGCTCCAGGTCTCGGGCCTCAAACGTGTGCTGGTTCTGCGGGTCCAGGTGTTCAAACTGCTTCAGGAGATTCAGGTGATCCACCTGCACATCTGGATGAAGGAAGATTCAAAACAATCCATGGATTCAGGTGAGGT